CACGAGTCAACCCAACCAAAGTAAACTTCAAGGCATCGCCTTGAATTTAAGCATATAAAGGAAAGCTCAGATTAGCCTTCTTTTTTCAAGCAGAAGATTGAACATCATAAAAGAGCTAAAAATACAAAAGCTCACGAGTCACCCACCCAAAGTTCTCCAAACAGCCACTCACACACACAAGGAAAGGAAAACACACAAGAAAGAAAGCAGATATATTGGTATAAGGGCTGTTGCCAACATGAGAAACAAGGATCAAAATTATGCAAAACTTTATTCACATACCAACAATGTTCAACAAATGTAAAACTCAAGCCGTCCTTGATTTAAGCACATAAAATGAGGCTCAGATTTGCCTTTTTCAAGCAGAAGATTGAACATCGGAAAAGAGCTCAAAATCAGAAGCTCACGAATCACCCATCGAAAGCAAACTAAAGCCAGCCTTGATTTAAGCGTATAAAAGGAGGCTCAAACTCGCCTTTTTCAAGAAGAAGATTGATATCACAAAATAACTCAAAATCAGAATCTCATGAGTCACCTAACCAAAGTAAACTCCAAAGTAAACAACCAAAGTAAACTCAAGCATGCCTTGATTTAAGCATATAAAAGGAGACAGATTCGCCTTTTTAAAGCAGAAGATTGAACATCACAAAAGAAAACTCAAGCGCATAAAAGGAGGCTTAAATTCGCCTTTTTCAAGCAGAAGATTGAATATCACAAAATTGCTCAAAATCAGAACCTCACAGGTCACCTAACCAAAGTAAACTCAAGCATGCCTTGATTTAAGCATATTAAAAGAGGCTCATATTCGCCTGTTTCAAGCAGACGATTGAACATCACAAAAGAAAACTCAAGCGTATAAAAGCAGGCTCAAATTTGCCTTTTTCATGCAAAAGATTGAATATCACGAAATAGCTCAAAATCAGAATCTCAAGAGTCAACCAACCACATTAAACTCAAGCAAGCCTTGTTAAGCATATAAAAGGAGGCTCAAATTTGCCTTTTTCAAAATTAAAAAATTGAATATCACGAAATAGCTCAAAATTAGAAGCTCACAGGTCACCCCCCAAAGCACTCTAAAGCCAACCTTGATTTATGCATATAATAGGAAGCTCAGATTCGCCTTTTTCAAGCAGAAGATTGAACATCACAAAGGAGGCTCAGATTCGCCTTTTTCAAGCAGAAGATTGAACATCATAAAAGAAAACTCGAGCGTATAAAAATAAAAGGAGGCTCAAATTTGCCTTTTTCATGGCTGCCCTTGATTTAAGCATATAAAAGGAAGCGCAGATTCGCCTTTTCAAGCAGAAGATTGAAAATCACAAAAAATCTCAAAATCAGAAGCTCACGAGTCACTCACCCAAAGTTCACCAAACAGCCATTCACACACACAAGAAAGAAAGCAGATATATTGGTACAAGGGCTTTCGCCAACATGAGAAATAAGGATCAAAATTATGCCAAACTTTATTCAACATTCACCGAATGTAAAAATAAAGCCGACATTCATATAAGAATATAAAAGGAGGCTCAGATTCGCCTTTTTAAAGCAGAAGATTGAACATCACAAACCAGCTAAAAATCAGAAGCTCGCGAGTCATCTAATCAAAGTAAACAAAAACCGACCTTGATTTAAGCATATAAAGCATATAAAAGGAGGCTCAGATTCCCTTTTTTCATGCAGAAGATTGAACATCACAAAGGAGCTCAAAATTAGAAGCCCACGAGTCACCCACCTTGATTTAATCATGTAAAATGAGACACAGATTCCCCTTGTTCAAGCAGAAGATTGAACATCACAAAAGAGCAAATATACTGGTATAAGGGCTGTTGCCAGCATGAGAAACAAGAATCAAAATTATGCAAAGCTTTGTTCACATAGCAACAAACTAAAGCTGACATTGATTTAAGCATATAAAAGGAGCCTCACAGTATCCCTTTTAAAGCAGAAGATTGAATATCACAAAATAGCTTAAAATCAGAGGCTCACGAGTCACCCACTCAAAGTAAACAGCAGCCGACCTTGATTTAAGCATATAAAAGGAGGCTCAGGTTACCTTTTTCAAGCAGAAGATAAGACCTTTGTTAAGCATATAAAAGGGAGGCTCAAATTCGCCTTTTTTCGAGCAGAAGATTGAATATCACAAAATAGCCTCAAAAATTAGAAAGCTCACAAGGTCACCCCACAAAAGCAATCCTAAAGCCAACCTTGATTTATGCATATAATAGGAGGCTCACATTCGCCTTTTTCAAAGCAGAAGATTTGAACATCCACAAAGGAGACTCAGATTTCGCCTTTTTCAAGCAGAAGATTGAACATCACAAGAGAAAACTTGCGTTATAAAAGGAGGCCTCAAATTTTGCCTTTTTTCATGCAGAAGATTGAATATCACAAAATAGCTCAAAATCAGAATCTCAAGAGTCACCCAACCAAATAAACTCAAGCAAAGCCTTGTTTAAGCATATAAAAGGAGGCTTAAATTCGCCTTTTCAAGCAGAAGATTGAAATATCACAAAATAGCTCAAAATCAGTCACCTTAACCCAAAAGTAAACTCAAGCATGCCTTTTTGATTTAAGCATATTAAGGAGGGACTTCATATTCGCCTTTTTCAAGCAGAAGATTGAACATCACAAAAAGAAAACTCAGGTATAAAAAAAGGAGGCTCAAATTTGCCTTTTTCAATGCAGAAAAGATTGAGGTATCACCAAAATAGCTCAAAATCAGAATCTTCAAGAGTCACCCAACCAAAGTAAACTCAAGCAAGCTTGTAAGCATATCAAAATGAGGCTTAAATTCGCCTTTTTCAAGCCAGAAGATTGAACTTATCACCCAACAATAGCCAAAATTCAGAATCTTCACAGGTCACTAACAAAGTTAACTCAAAGCATCCCTTTGATTTAAGGCATATTTAAAAGGAGGCTCAGGATTCCCCCTTTTTTCAAGCAGAAGAATGAACATCACAAAAAGAAAAACTCAAGCGTTATAAAAGGAGGCTCAAATTTTGCCTTTTTCATGCAGAAGATTGAAATATCACAAAATAGCTCAAAATCAGAATCTTCAAGAGTCACCCAACCAGAGTAAACTCAAGCAAGCCTTGTTAAGCATATAAAAGCAGGCTCCAAATTCACCCCAACCAGCCAAGTAAACTCAGGCAAAGCCTTGTTAAGCATATAAAAGGAGCTCAAATTCACCTTTTTCAAGCAGGAAAGATTGGAATATCACAAAAATAGATCTCAAAATTAGAAGCTCACAGGTCACCCCACAAAGCAATCTAAAGCCAACCTTGATTTATCCATATAATAGGAGGCTCACATTCGCCTTTTTCAAGCAGAAGATTGAACATCACAAAGGATACTCGGATTCGCCTTTTTCAAGCAGAAGATTGAACATCACAAAAGAAAACTCACGCGTATAAAAGGAGGCTCAAATTTGCCTTTTTCATGCAGAAGATTGAATATCACAAAATAGCTCAAAAAATCAGAATCTCAAGAGTCACCCAACCAAAGTAAACTCAAGCAAGCCTTGTTAAGCATATAAAAGGAGGCTTAAATTCGCCTTTTTCAAGCAGAAATTCGCCTTTTTCAAGCCAGAAGATTGGAATATCACCAAAAATAGCTTCAAAAATCAGTCACCTAAACCAAGTTAAACTCAAGCATGCATTGATTTAAGCATATTAAAGGAGGCTCATATTCGCCTTTTGCAAGCAGAAGATTTGAACATCACAAAAGAAAACTTCAGCCTTATAAAAAGGAGGCTCCAATTTGCCTTTTTCATGCAAAAGATTGGAGTTTATTCACAAAAATAGCTCAAAATCAAAATCTCAAGGACTCACCCAACCAAAGTTAAACTCAACAAGCCCTTGTTAAGCATATAAAAAGGAGGCTTAAAATTCGCCTTTTTCAAGCAGAAGATTGAATATCACAAAATAGCTCAAAATTAGCAAGGGCTCCACCAGCTCAAAATTAAAGCTACACAGGGTCAACCCCCCCAAAGACTCTAAAAGCCAACCTTGATTTATGCATAATAATAGGAGGTCTTTGCCTTTTTCAAGTAGAAGATTGAATATCACAAAATAGATATAAATCAGAAGCTCATGAGTCACCACCTAAAGCAATCCAAAGCCGACCCTGATTTAAGCATATAAAAGGAGGCTCAGATTCGCCTTTTTAAAGCAGAAGATTGAACATCACAAAGAGCTCAAAATCAGAAGCTCACAAGTCACTCACCCAAGGCAACCTAAAGCCGACCTTGATTTAAGCATATAAAGGAGGCTCAGATTCACCTTTTTCAAGCAGAAGATTGAAAATCACAAAAGAGCTCAAAAAATCAGAAGCTCATGAGTCACCTAACCAAAGTAAACTCAAGCATGCCTTTATTTAAGCATATAAAAAGCAGAAGATTGAATATCACAAAAGAGCTTACAATCAGAAGTGCACAAGTCACCCACCCAAAGTTCACCAGACAACCACTCACACACAAAAAAAAGAAAGCAGATATATTGGTATAAGGGTTGTTGCCAATATGAGAAACAAGGATCAAAATTATGAAAACTTTATACACATAAGATTGAATATCACAAAATAGCTCAAAATTAGAAGCTCACAGGTCACCCCCCAAAGCAATCTAAAGCCAACCTTGATTTATGCATATAATAGGAGGCTCACATTCACCCTTTTCAAGCAGAAGATTGAACATCGGAAAAGAGCTCAAAATCAGAAGCTCACGAGTCACCCATCAAAAGCAAACTAAAGCCAGCCTTGATTTAAGTATATAAAAGGAGGCTCAAATTCCCCCTTTTCAAGCAGAAGATTGAATATCACAAAATAGCTCAAAATCAGAAGCTCACGGGTCACCACCCAAAGCAATCTAAAGCCAACCTTGATTTAAGCATATAAAAGGAGGCTCAATTCGCCTTTTTCAAGCAGAAGATTGAAAATCACAAAATATCTAAAAATCAAAAAGCTCACAAGTCACCAGACAAGAAAGAAAGCAGATATATTGGTATAAAGGTTGTTGCCAACATAAAAAACGTAATTAGTAGTCACTGGCTCCGCTAGCTATCAGGAAGGACAGAGTCAACCACCCTGAAACCAACCGCCTCTCACTGAGAGCAAAGCCTCGTACTTAAACCATTCACACAGAAATCTTAAGGTACACATATTTCATGCAAAAGCAATTGCCAACTTTTCATTTTAGAAAAAAAATAACAGAATAAAAATCGAAGAATATGAAGAGTGAGAGATTGTAGAGGATGGAGGCCCAAACAGAACCAGAGAAATCTGGAGAAAGAGAAGGCTCAGATCAGATATGCCTTCAAATTGGACAGGAAAGAAACACCACAACATCGGCGCTACAACAACAAAAGGTTGCCTTGCCAAGAAATTGAGTATTTCTCCTTCAGTCCAACTTTTCAGGCTCAAAGAATATATCATCATAGCCCACAGACAAGAAAGAAAGCAGATATATTGGTATAAAGGTTGTTGCCAACATAAAAAACGTAATTAGTAGTCACTGGCTCCGCTAGCTATCAGGAAGGACCGAGTCAACCACCCTGAAACCAACCTGAGAGCAAAGCCTCGTAACTTAAAACCATTCACACAGAAATCTTAAGGTACAACATATTCATGCAAAAGCAATTGCAAACTTTTTCATTTTTAGAAAAAATTAACAGGAATAAAAAATCGAAGAATATGAAGAAGTGAGAGATTGAGAGGGATGGAGGCCCAAAACAGGAACCAGAGAAATCTGTGAGAAAGAGAAGGCCAGATCAGATATGCCTTCAAATTGGACAGGAAAGAAAACACCACAACATCGGCGCTACAAACAACAAAAGGTTGCCTTGCCAAGAAATTAGTCTTTCTCCTTCAGGTCCAACTTTTCAGGCTCAAAGAATATATCATCAATAGCCCAACAGGACAAGAAAAAAGCAGATATATTGGTTATTTAAAGGTTGTTGCCAACAGTAAAAACGTAATTAGTAGTTCACTGGCTCCGCTAGCTATTCAGGAAGGACCCGAGTCAACCACCCTTGAAACCAACCGCCTCTCACTGAGAAGCAAAGCCTCGTATACTTAAACCATTCACACAGAAATATTAAGGTAAACATATTTCATGCAAAAGCAATTGCCAATTTTTCATTTTAGAAAAAAAATAACAGAACAAAAATCGAAGAAAATGAAGACTGAGAGATTGCAGAGGATGGACGCCCAAACAGAAATAGAGAAACCTGGAGAAAGACAAGGCTCAGATCAGATATGCCTTCAAATTGGACAGGACAGAAACACCACAACATCTGCGCTACAACAAAAAAAGGTTGCCTTGCCAAGAAATTGAGTATTTCACCTCGAGTCCAACTTTTCAGGCTCAAAGAATATATCATCATAGCCTCACCAGTCGCCAGACAGCCACTCACACACACAAGAAAGAAAGCAGATATATTGGTATAAGGGTTGTTGCCAACATAAAAGTAGTCACCGGCTCCGCTAGCTTCAAGGAGGACTCACTGGCTCCGCTAGCTATCAGGAAGGACCGAGTCAACCACCCTGAAACCAACCGCCTCTCACTGAGAGCAAAGCCTCGTACTTGAACCATTCACACAGCATATTTCATGCAAAGCAATTGCAAATTTTTTATCCAAGAAAAAAAAAAGACAAAAATCGAAGAAAGTGAAGAGAGCGAGAGATTGTAGAGGATGGAGGCTCAGATTCACCTTTAATCAGACAAGAAAAGGAACAAAGAGACCATGGCTGCAAAAATGGAGCTCTCTATTTGAAAAAAGAAAAGTCTTTCACGAAAAATCTCCATACTGCCCGCCAACAATCAAACTATTCCTTATCGTCTTTCTTTTGCACTCTAAAACCCTAAAATCGTCACAGCCTATTTGTAACCAAGAAAGAAAGAGAGCCCGAAAAAGGAGAGAATGATGATGATAATGCACACAGACATACGGCGGCTATTACACAAACGACGGAGAAATCATCGGCTCCACAGTCGTTCAGAGAGGCAGAGCAACCGCCTTCTTTGCCGCCTCTCTGAGAGCAAAGCCTCATTCTCAAGAGTGGCAAAGCCTCATTCTCAAGAGTGCTTGATTAGTACGCATCTTGCATTCTATGGTAACTTCTTATTTTCCTTTTATTCCGTGATTACCCTTCGTTGGGCGGTGGAGCATAACGGTAACTTGGGGCGAGCAATCAATTAAAGGTAATTTGGTAAATAAAATCATACGCGTAAATTTCACTTCATAATATTTTATATTTATTCACATTATAAGCATAATATTATATGAGATCTCGGCTTGATCAAGCATATCTCCCAAAGTCATCCTTCTAAGGAATCTCTGAGGCAGTCTCAAATTCATTGCATCCTCAGTCTCAGTTGGCAATTGCGTTGCAACAAACACAATCCCTCCCTTCTTTCTATGCTCTGGAATAATGTTTTCGAGCAATTTTACCCCTTCATCATCTACATTTCTAATTGCGACAGAAGGCTCATCCAGAACCAAATTTGGTTTCGGTCAATGGTTGGTCGGTCAATGGCCAGTAGTCTTGCAAATTGCAGCCTCTTCCCTTGGCTCATTAACACCATTCTTGCCTCTCTTGCCAATCTTCTGAGCCCCATCAAGTCAATAGCAGGCTTAGACAATCCACTGAACATTGTCAAGGACAGTAAACTTTTCTTTAATGAAATCTTTCAAGGAGAGCCAATTAAGTTGAAGCTGTGGAAAACTCCAGATTCTGTCACATCATGACCGTTCCAGAGGATCTGACCTGCAGAAGGCTTAGACAATCCAGCCAGCACACGAAGGAGGTGGCCTTGCCTGAGCCATTGCTCCCGGTTACAACAAGTGCCCCTCCATCGTGAACAGAGACATTTACATGTCGCAAGATTTGTTGGGCATTTCTCATGCAGGATACATTGTCGAAGGATCCGAGGAAGTGCTGGCTTTCGAAGAGACATTAAGCTTTAAGAAATTAAGTGGAATTCTGGTACTTCTGATTTTGCAGAGACTTCCACTGTTTAGAATCTGAAGATGATGCTAGAAACCAAGCCTAGCAAGTCTCTATAATAATATCCTGCAGAACAACACTTAACCCTATAATAAATTCAATGAGAGTGGGGAAAAACAAAAGGAAACGGGCATCATAAACAATGAAAACAAATCATTAGTTTGAAGGTGGACTGGAAAAGGGGGGAAGTCAAAAATAAAATAGCTTTAGAAGGTTAATTAAGCCATGGATGTGTACAGCAATTTACCTTAATAAAAATTTCAAATATATAAACAGATAGGGCAAAGAATTGCAGTATATTGTCCAAGGACACCCTAACAGTTGCAATTTCTTCTAGTAGATCCCAAGTTCAAATCTTGTTCGGATCAGAGAGGGAGTATTGTGGAAATGGTGAACCAGATATTCATGGATGCGGCGCTCAAAGGTTTCTAAGAAAATGCAAAGAATTTGCAGTATATTGTTCCAAGGACACCTAACAGTTTCAATTTCTTCTAGTAGATCCCCAAGTTCAAATCTTTGTTACGGATCAGGAGAGGGAGTATTGTGGGAAATGGTGAAATGGTGAACCAGATATTCATGGATGCGGCGCTCAAAGGTTTCTAAGAAAATGAGAAAACAAAAGATGGAGTTAGGGTTCCTAAGGTTAGTGTATAACGTGGCACAAGTAAATGGACTCAAACAAATAATAAAGGTCCACTTCTCTAATTGGACTAATTAAACACTTATTTATTCAGCTGTAAATATAGTTAGTTAGAATAGTATTAATAGCATACATTAGTACACACAATAACAAAAATCTATATATACATTGAGGTTATATGTAATTGTTCTTTTGTTTTATCAAATTTCTTTTTTTCTTTTAACGTGTAGGAAAACCTTCCCTTTTTATCTTTTAAAATGTGGAGAACTCCATTTTTAAGATTATATGCATTGAAAAAATGAAATTATTATATCACAAATATATATGAAATATTTACATGATTATACATAAAGATAAATTATTTAAAAGTGATATTAAAATATAGGACTAAAATATTATTTTCCAACAAATAAAAATGAAAATTTTATATCATAAATCTATGTGAAACATTTACATTATTATTACATTATTATTGTCACGAACCCGTTTCCGTGGAGGCCGGACCCGGCACTAGGGCCCAGGATATGCTTAAGGCCCCCGAGGCCGTAGTAAGCCTGAAACGCATAGAAATCATTATCTCGGTATAAAATTTCAACATTTTAAGCCCATATGAATTATGAAAGGATAAACCTTAATATTTTATTAAATCTCGCCCCAAATTTATCGCGCTTACAACGTTCCACAGTTTCGGGCCTAATTAACAATTGCATCACATTTATAATATGGGTTCACTAATTATCTCATCTATTAAAATAATAAACGAATTAAAAAAGTATAACAAATCCTACTAACTTTGTTATACATAGCTTCTTATACATATAATTACATAGCAAAACAATTATGGAACTAGGAAAACTTCTTAATAACCTTGCGGCGAAGAAACATAGCTTAACCGAAAATGTGTGGGAAGGTGGCCGGAGGCATGCTGGAAGCGAGAAGAGAGCGTAGTCGGGTCGGTCCTTGGTTGGGCGCGCCGAAAAATCGAGGAGGAGTGCAGGTAACGCGACTGTACCTATTGCGAGTCGCGATCACAGCTCTTGGGTTTGCTGCGCCAACCGGAACGGAGGGAGAGAGGGAAGGAGATGTCGCCGTTGAGACAGCCTGGCATCGCCGGAGAGCCGAAGAGGAGATTGTGACGCAGTCCCGATCGAGGCAAGATCGCAGCTCTTCCTGCGACTGTTGCTCTCACTAGAATGGAACGGAGAGAGGGAAGGAGACGCCGGAGCTGCTGCTGGGAGGAGGCGCGGCACGAGTGTCACGACCCGTTTCCGTGGGCCGGACCGGCACTAGGGCCTAGGTAAGCTTAAGGCCCCCGAGGCCCGTAGTAAGCCTAAATTATTCAATCTGTCACAACAGGAGGCCACCCTGCGGGCTAACAATCAAAATCTAGATTATCAGCGTGCGCAACAAACAAGAAGCCATCCTTGGTTTTCCAATTAATCCATATCATCAGGTGCACACGGGGGCGCCGATCTCCCATTTTCCCGGCCGACGGTCAAATATCTATAATTATCGGATCCATATCAAGCAGACCGTCCTCACAAACCCACGGTGGGTCCACTTCATCCCAAATCCACACAAACAAAGCATAAGCGATTATCACAACACAATTAATCAAACATTGCAATCAAATGCAGAACATATAAATCAATTAAACATCGTAATTGCAATGCACAAATTTAAATTCAAAAATCAATGCAAATAAATTAAATAAAATAGTATTAACAATAAACAAACAATATAATATAAATAACAATATTTGAATAAATTATTGAATAATTAAATGAATAATCATGATAATAATAAAATAATCAGAGCACTTTATTTATTAAATATCAAGTTATAGAATTAATCTAAATAAACTTATTATGTGTAGCCTAGGTTCTACTGAAATTTCGGCAGCATTTTCCCTAAAAATGGGACTATCCACCTGTTTAAATATCAAAAATTTCATTCAATATTAACTCAATCCACACAGCCCATCCGTCGGGCAATCAACCAAATCAAATACCCATCCGCCTTCAATAATATATCACCAATCAACCATAATTTACAAATTAAAAGACCTTCAACTATTCTAGGAATATTATCAATAATTCTTTGCTTAAGGTATAAACAATATCATTAAACATTTATTACATTAAACATTTATTAAAGTTCTAGACTAACTATTAATAACTAATATTTCAATTAACTTCCAAGTTAGTAAATACTTCTACTAGATAACTCAACTCGAAACTTAAACATATAACTGAAGCTTCATAAATTTCTCCGTCTTAACATAAAAATACCACTTCTAGATATAGCTAAAGAGTTTTTCAATTGAATCGTTAATTTAGCAAAAATATTGCTATCAAGCAGTAACCAACACTAACCAACATAAGAGTATTGAAAATATAAATATATATACATACATCTGTTTCCATACCAATTATTTAAAATTTTCCATACAATTATTTTTAACCATAGTACTAAGTTACCGAAATAGTTACTGGCCCCCAAGGAAAAAAATATATTTTCCTTAAAACTTAAATTTCATATCGCATTTAAGGAACTTTGGTTTAGGGACTTCGCATACTCATCCCAATATAGGAATCAATACTCATCCCAATATAGGAATCATTTATACATCGATTTCAAGAGCAAAAATTCAAAATTGGCTATTCACGTTCACCTAATCAGTAGCTAGGTATATAAAGCAATAGCTCCAAGTATTAGCAAATAACAATTGATGTGATTATCATGCTACTCTCATTCTTAAACTAAGACTACCTTAATCACACTAACATATTCAACACAATATATTTCAAATAAAGTTAGCAAGAAATTAATTTAAATTTTCTAAAATATTTATATGAGCAGTAGTATCTAAGGCTTTATTCTACAGTAATTCAATTAGCACATCAAATCCTATAACTATACTCAATGAATTCATGAAAAATTTACTGAAAAAGGGTCAACAATCACTTTACCTGCCTATGGAATCCAAGTTTGGTTCTGCCGTCATCAACTTGGCCGGGGAAGGCAGCCATGGCGTGCGATGAAGAGCTGGCGACGAGAGGAGAGTCGAATTCGCCAGCTTGTGGCTGGTCTTGCCGGAAAGTGCAAAGAAAACAGGTAACGGGACTATGCCAATCGCCACCACAGTCACCACAGTCGCAGTTTCCCCCGATTGCTGCTGCGTCAGCCGAAACAGGAAGAGAGAGAGAGAACGGCGAGAAAGAGAGCTAGAGCTTCAGAGCTTCACCGTCGACTAGAGAGTGGCCGAAGCTGGCTGCTTGCACTGAAGTCGCTGGAGATCGAGGAATTAGAGACTAGAATTCTCGATCGAGCGAATTCGCAGCTCTCCTGCGAAAACTACGCTAGCTGCGCTCGCCGGAAATAGCAGAGGAGGTGGAGAGAGCGGTGGCAGCGGTAGGTGGCGGTGGCGGTGGCGTTGGCTGTGAACGAAAAAAAAGAAGAGGGGAGGGGAGGCTATGTTCCGCGCTAGAGAAGAAGGACGAAGAAGAAGAAAAGAAATTTTGGGTTTCTAGACTATTCCGATTCAATTCGAATCGGTTTGGTCCAATTAAATGATTCGGTTCGATTTGCTTGGTTTTTTAATCCGATTTAATTTATTTTGATTCTTTTTGCGTTCTAGAACACTTTCTCCTTTACTCAATATTAACAAAATCATGAACAATTATGAATTCGATTTAGGATAATTAATTCTATATAATAATTACCATACCTATACATACCTTATTAACGATTAGTAACTAGTTTCATTTTTGATTCGTAAAAAAAAATGTTTAAATGTTCTCGATCGAAAATTCCGAATAATCTGTTTTTGGCTTGGACCCAATTCGAAAATTTGGGCTCGGAATACTGTATTACATTTACAAACCCACACGGTCGAAAGTTCCCGATTTTTAATCAATGTATTACATTTACAGCCCACACGGTCAAAGTTCCCGATTTTTAATCAAATAAAAATTCAAAAGTTTCAAAAATAAAAATTCGGGGTGTTTCAATTATACATAAAAATACATTATTATAAATGATCTTAAATTTTTATATCATAATAACAGCGATTTTGAATAATTACTTTTATAATATTCATAAATGATTCTAATACCATATTAAAAAAATTATAAATTTAAATTATAGAACTTATAGTTAATTTTTGATATAAAACTAAGAGTTTAGATTATATTTCCAACATAATTGTTTACGATTTTTTTGAATTGAAAAATAAAATTTTAGAAAAACTAGCCTTTGGAGCTCAACCATGAAGAGTAGCTCAGTTCAAAATGATGAAGGGAAGTGGCTCGATTGTAATGTTGAGGGCAGGAAAACGGAATTTAAAATTTTAGATGTCTTTTTTGAAACTATAAATTAATATATAAAATTAAGTAATAGTCAATACACTTTATAATTTTTAGATTATAAACATAATTTTGATATGCAAATTAAATTTTGGTTATATTTTGAAGATCAGAAATTTAAACTTAAATAAATAGTGTACAAGAACTATAAAAAAATTTTAGAATAAAAATTAGTTTATAAACTATATTCTAAATATCATAGGGCATAAAAAAAATTAAATCATGAGCATCACAAAAATTTTACATGGCTGAAACGTTCTTGACTGAGGCATGCCAGAGCTTCAAGCAAAGCCAAAGGGCCACCTGGAAAACAATCAGACATACTTAAACAAGAAATTCCACTATGGTCTCTACAGAACAATCTCATAAACCATACACACTATGTTTGTGTTGCCACAGAGAGTAAATAGAAAAACTGCACAAAAAAGAACATGTCTTGGCAACTATACCAACAGAATGTGTGGCACAGATACTTCGAACAAGCAAAATTAAATCAGAAACTAACCCAATCAAGGCCTATCATAATGGTGACGCAGAGCAAGGAACAAGAAAATTCACCTGGAAATCAGATTACTCTTTGTAGGCACGAAATCGCCGATACTCCATCTAAGGACGCGAAATCAGAAGCGTCGTTGATAATAGCACCGATGTTAAGCAACCCTTGGAATCTTCCAGAAGGACGGCGAATCTGCAGAGCGACGAACGAAGGAGTTCTCATTTCCTGGGAAAAATAGTGGCATGTTGCTGATGAGTAAACGGACGGTGCCGATGAGTTTATCACGGAGGCAGCCGACGGCAAAGATTTCGACAGAAACACTGCTTGTTTCGACGGAGAGAAATTCAAGAATGACTTTGAAGAGAAACTTGTCACTCCAAATCGGGTCCTCGCAACCATCAAGATCGATTCGGGTGCGGAGCTTAGTGGAGGAATCGATGGAAACAACTGCGTACGTCTGCATGCGGCGTCGATTGGCAGACGGCGGATATAGACCTTGCGCAGAGATTACGTTTATCTCAAGAACCTTAATCTTCTCCAAGCGGCGTCGATTGGCAAACAGCAGATTTGATAAGGGGTGAGATAATACAGAAATGTAATATTCTGGATCTATAAATTAATAGCATTTATAGATCAAGTTATTTAATTACGAGCCGCTGGATTCAAAAAGCATTTAATGACTTGCTAGTTGCTGCATCATCTTCTTCTTCTTCTTATTATTATTATTATTACACTCTAAATGTACGTTCTTCAACAACAGTAAAAATATAATCATCCTTTTGACAAACAAGTAAAACAAAAAAAAATAGCTATGGATTGTGGCTCGATTTGAAGACTAAGCATGTGGAAAGCTATATTTTCATTTCCTCCAAAAAAAAAATTTAGATGTTTACTCCAAAGTGGTTTACTCCAAAAAAAAAAAAAAAAAAAAAAAAAAAAAAAAAAAAAAAAAAAAAAAGTGGTTTACTCCAAAAAAAAAAAAAAAAAAAAAAAAAAAAAAAAAAAAAAAAAAAAAAAAAAAAAAAAAAAAAAAAAAAAAAAAAAAAATTTCCTCTAAAACGAAATAGAAAATATATATTTTCACTTTTTTTTTTAAAGATTAACATATAATTTCCTTGAAATACTTAATTATTTAAATGATATTTTAGATGTTGATTTGGCTCTTTGGCTTTGGTATGGCCAAGTCAAGAAGGTTTCAGCCAAGCAGATGTTGAGTTGGATTCACAGCATGTCTTCTATGCTGGAGTTTATTAGACTGTGCTTGTTCATGTAGTTCCTATTTTCTGTTAAATGCACCTTAAGTAGATGTACACATGCCAGGTTTTTTCACTTAGCATCTTGGATACTAGGTTGGGTTTATTGGGGAGGTCTATCTTTTTCACTTAGCATCTTGGATACTAGGTTGGGTTTATTGGGGAGGTCTATCTATTGAGCTGGGTTAGTTTATCCAATTTGCTAAGTTTTTCCTGGTTTATTAATAATAATAACAATAAAATTTTAATTTCAAAAGGAAAAGCATTACTCTTATTTGGTTTGAGCAACTTCAGTTTCACATAATCCAAAACACTACTAAGATTCTGTTGCTGTTTTGCACAAACTGCAATTTCAATTGTATCTTCAGTTGGCAGATACACTGTAGAAAACATAAAGTTCAACTATAACTTGCTGGAGCTGAAGATATCACAATTCCTTTTATAGATACTTGAATAACAATATGAAGAATTGCTCAAGAATTTGAATCCTGCCTGTTGACAAGATAATTACCATTACAAGTGTAAAATTGGCCACTATACTTGGCATGACAAAATGTTAACTCACCTAGCTTATGTAGGCATATTATAGTACGACATGTGATCTAAGAATGATTCAAGTCAAATACAAGTTTTGGAAATTGTTACTTTTAATTCTAATGGCAATGGTTAAGAATCTTTCTTGTAAATTCTGTACTGTATCATGTCAGATTAAGAGTCGCCAAATCTCCCAACTCCTCAATTTGTTGCTAGACAATTCTCCTGTTCCAAGGAACTCCGATGGGTTTTTGCTGCAATTCAAACACAAAAAATAAAAATAATAAAAAAAAAACAATGTCCAGTTATGAAGACTAGAACATTTAAAAAAAAAAAAGGAAAAAGAAAAGAAAAGAAGTGTGATAAATTACCAGGGCTTAGAATTATGCATTTTGTTATAGACTTCACTGCAGTTAGAGTTTCAGGACCTAAAAGAAGAAACATTATTTATATGAGATAAATGCTCAAATGAGCTCAAATGAAGTTAGTTTTCAAAAACATCAGGGATGGATATCATGCGAATTGATATTCCAAACACCCTTGAATATCCAATAACATACTTCTCATCCATGAGATTACTTCATGGTCAAAGCGTCTGCAGGACACAGAATTCCTGAATGCTATGACGTGAATCAGACCCGCAACTGAAGTCTCATCATCATCCCATCTAGATTATCATGTGAGGGATACCATTGAAATATCTCACAACATCAAATTCCAAAATATTAGATCAAGAAAGATAAAAACTGTTCTAATACTGTTAAGTACTTATGCAAGAAAGAGAGAGTACTTATATTCAAACATATGGCATAGAATATGACCAAAGAACAACAAAATATACACCTGAAACAACCGCAGTGTCTCGCTACAGAACCCACACCAAGGAATTGGCTGGCCATTCGGACAACCCAACCCACTCAAAGCCCAAGATCTAGACACTCAAAAAACTCAAAAACCAAACCTCTCTGAGAAGCGGTAACAAGTTAGCTTCCAACGTGCGCCCAATCTACAATTTGCAAACTCAATAGTCAAAGTCATATGCTCCTTCTTTAATCAGAACTGCAGTACTGTTGAACAAATCTCCTACAACAAAGTGATTATCAAAAGGATTTGTTATTCCACAATACTGACCCATGCAAACAATCAAAGCCTCTTCCCCTTTTAACCATTTCCTCATTTCCTATACCTCAATCCTACTTAATCAGGCTTGTCTGATGTGTTGGGAACTGACATGGTAGAAATACCCTGAAACAGTGTCTGCAGAACCACCCAAGATTGGCTGGCATGGACAACCCAACCCATCAAAGCCAAGATCTAGATCAACTAACAATTCTGAGAAGGAAAAGTTAGCTCCAAGTGCATCTAAATTTGGCAAATCAATGTCAAAGATATCTCCTTCTTTATCAGACTCAGATGTTGAAATCTCCTCAACAATTGGATTATCAAAGGTTGTTATCACATCTGACCCATCAAAATCAAGCCTTCCCTTTACATTTTCCCTCTTACTCAACCTCTTAAAGGTTGTCTTGGTTGGAGAGGTAGAAGAAATGCAATGGTTTCTCTCCATGGTATATGCCACATGTTTGCATGGGCTCACAACGACTCTTTCTGATGTAATTACAGTACAATTGGTAGGAGTTTCTTGAGGAGTATTGCTGTTACTGCAATGAGCAGTGGAAGAGATATTAACTGGAGAGGCAGATTTCTCATTGTGAGAGGAAACTGCTTGTGGTGGTGTTTTGGGGCCAGTTGAGTTAGCTGGAGAAGATAACCATGGTTGATTGAACAAATTCTTGGCTACACTATATCCTTGGACCATTGGACCACTAGGTGTGCGGTTATAGGGTGACGACCCAATCACAGAGGACTCAGGTTCTTTAGTATTGGCTGCATTATCAGGCCAAGCAGTTTCTCGAATGGTTGCTGCATTATCAGATTGGCTGCATGTACCTGAATAAGAAATGAGTCAAAAACAAATAAAATTTCAGAAAGTCATTCAGATTTATTGGCGTGATTGTTGGTACTACTCTTTTTTGAAAAAGCATCATCCTAGATTTGGAAAAGCTATTTAGTTGTTTACAAATTTTAAGACTGACATATGAAAGTGACTTTAAAAACAAATTTGAGTGATCTTTAATCAACAATTTTTAACATAACGTTTTTCTCAACAGCAATGACAAACAAATCTTTACAAGGTCATAAGTTAGGTGCATAATTAACTCCAAGGAAAGTATACCTGTATTTGGTGCTTTCCTGGATGGTAACTTGCCACGAGATTTCTTAGTAGCTAGAGGGCCTTCTGCAGCTACACTTGCGCCAGATCTTTTTCTTGTTGATGTGCAATTTGCAGCTGAAAGATTATTGTTCTCCTTCATGATGTTGGAAGGCATGGAGATTGGCATAAGAGTTGGTGATGTGTACATGGGACCTAAAAGTGAGCATCAATAAAGAGCATTACTAACCATTTCTGACCTCATTTGTCTTCTTTTTTTTTTTTTTTTCACTTTCTCGCAGTATTAGCAAAGAAAAAGGCACACAAGTATCCCTAGGAGACAATTCTTATCGATGACTTTCAGTTTCTTGTATTAATAGTTATGCCACTTAAAATTGATAGCTGAACAAACATTATTAGGATCCCTAATCATCAAAAATGCCAAGAAAATGTAAAAATTCTTCTAAAGACAATGGCAATAACCATTTATCCTGTACCAAATCTAATATCCCTTTTGTAGGCAAAAAGAAAAAAAAAATCATTTGGTTTTTAACACTAATTTACACTTAAAATTGTTAAATCTTACCATATTAAAGATTTTTTCTATCAACTTACACACAATTATGCAACATGGTTTCATTTCAAACAACTGCAACACACATCCTATCTCAACAGCCAAAACTAATTTCCAGGCAATATTCAACTAATTATGTCACAAAAACATGAAGAGGGATATATGGATTTCGGTTCCACCTGCTGAAGATCCAGTAACAGGGCCTAGTTGAGGAGCCATAGCCAAAGGTCTGTTTGCAGAGGGCTGGATCATGGGTGTAGAATTAGGTGCGGTTCCACTGGCATTATAAGCATTCATAACATCTTGCATTCCCTGCAAAAGATTCTGGACCCTGAATTTCTCTTGCTCCAAACGGACCCTTTCTTGATCTACCATCACCTTCTGCTCCTTCAAGCATATATACTCATTCAACATCGCCCCTAAACTCAATAAGCTCTTGGGCGCCTAAAAACAAAGATAAAAAAAAATGAAAAAGAAGCATACAGAAATGACAAAAAGAAATTAAAAAAAGAAGAATAATTGATGGGTACCTCTTGAACTGGAGATTTGGAGATGAGAGAAGAGGCTTCAGTTCTAAAAACTGAGCGGGTTTCAGAGAAATTGTTATCTGAGAGATATCGATCTACAATGAATGCAATTTGCATCGGCGTTACTTTTCCCTTGCCAAAGGATTGGGTGGTTTTAGCTTTGGTTTGCTTCCCCATTTTTCCAACAGGGAAGCTTGTACGTGAGAATAACAGAGAGAGAGAGAGAGAGAGATTGATGAGAAAAGAAATGCTAACAAGGATTAGAATTCTGGATCTAAAGGAGGAGTTTTTGAGACGAAGAAACGAGGGAGATTTTGTGGAGGGAAAACGGCGGGAGTTTTTGAAAATTTTGAGGCAAAATAATTAAAGAGGGCAGAGATTTTAGCGGTTAATTTGGTTAATATGGACTCTTTGTATTTCACTTCGCGGGAAAACTTTAGTGGACTTAAAAGGCGAGGGGGGGTTGCTACAATACATTATACGGGCAACAAATTTCATAGTAGAATGACAAAAATATCCTACCTACGCACTGAACAATTGGGCCGTTATAAAGCCCACTGGCCTGCAGCGACACTGTCTTCCACTTATCCGAAACAGGATCACAGCAACGTTCAATTGTCTTCTGACCAAATCAGTAGAGCTGAAAACCAGAACAAAAAAATGGAGCAAGGGCTTCTTCTATGGAGTCCTCGCCATCCCTCAATTCCCTTCATTTCCCTCCCAGTCTCTAGACCCAAACACGCCTTTTCACCAATCAAAGCAACTCTTCATTCAACTGACACCCAGCAACAAGAGTTAACAGCAAGAGAGAGAAGGCAATTGAGGCAAGAGAGAAGAGAAAGCAAAGCTGGATACAATTGGAGAGAAGAAGTGGAAGAGAGACTTATCAAGAAGCCCAAAAAGAAGCCAACTTCTCGGTCTGTGGACCTCAATCTTGATACTCTGGCCGATTTGGGTCCTCAATGGTATGTGGTTCGCGTCTCTCGTGTTAGGAGTGACGAGACCGCCGTGCTTATTGCTCGTCTACTGGCTAGAAATTATCCTGACTTGGAATATAAGGTAATTTATCTTATATTTTGGTTTTTAGCTCTGGTTTATGAATTTGTTGTAAATTTTATCTTATTGCAGTTCTTATTATGCTCATATCCGAATACCAGTAGCCAATCGTTTTAACTTCAGTATGGAACCTGGATATTACATTAATTACCAGCATTATCTTTTTTTATTTACTGATCTATGGTTAACTTGTTTGATATGCACAATATCTCATTTTGGATTGCTATATTTTTAATTTGGTAAAATTGATTATAGACCAAATTGATAGGATTTTTGAATGAACTCATAACTAGGAATACTACAAATGAACTCTGAAGAAGATTAGTAGGAGTGACAAATAAGTTCTTTGTCCATCATAAGCTTAAAACATCAGTCTTCTGCTTTAATTAGGTTGCAAATAATTTTTTGAGGAAGTTAGAAGTTTGAATGTTGATTGGTTCATTGGTAATCAATAGATGACAGGAAGTTTGGTTTAGAATTCATTTATTTTTCTGAAAACCTCGGTGTTTTTCTCCAGGTCTATGCTCCATCCATCAAGGTTAAAACAAAATTGAAAAATGGTACCTACTCAGTTAAACCAAAGCCAGTTTTTCCAGGATGTGTATTTCTATGGTGTGTATTAAACAAAGAGATACATGACTTCATAAGAGAGTGTAATGGAGTTGGTGGATTTGTTGGTTCAAAAGTTGGAAATACGTGAGTCCTTTCTTTGTCTTTGAGGTTACATTTCCTAAATATATGTGTAATATTCTGTACAGATGTTATATGCAATCATATTTTTATTTCCCAGTGCAAGAGCTTTCATGTAAACGTTTTTGACATTTTTGAGAATAATTTGAGGCAGGGACATGGAGCTTATGAAAATTTTTAACCTATTGAAGTGCCTGGTTCTGTGATTTAATAGGCTTGTTTTGGAAGTGCATGAAGATTTCAAATTCATACTTCAACTGCCTAAATCTGACAATAATAATCTAATTGTTGGGATGTTTTTTTTGTTGGTATTTAAGATGGTACAGAATTGGTGTTCTGACTAGGCATGAAATGTTAGAATCTGGAATTTGTTCACATATGCTAGCCTTTTCAGATTCCCACAGTCTACAATCATAATCTGGAATGTGTATGACAATTTTATTTTATTTTATTTTTTCTTCCCTTGTGGAGGCTTGGGATTTCAGTATATCTTATTCACTGCTCAGTTCAATTGGAAACTGTTGATTTCCTTACACAGGAAAGAGTATTAACATACCCTAGCCAGAGAGTGCTGGCATATGTGGCTTTGATGTGCTTATATTTTAAGATTAACAGGGCATGTCAATTTGCTTGGACAGGAAAAGACAAATCAACAGGCCAAGACCAGTGTCTGTTGAGGATATGGAAGAAATCTTCCGGCAGGCAAAAGAGGAACAAGAAAAATATGATGAAGCTTTTCAAGAAGAACAGCAAGAAGAGGGAGCTCTTAACTCAGAGAAGCTGGTTGGAAATGAAAATATGAAATTGGATACAGATTCCAATCCCACAAGGGGATCCAGAAAAATTTCTGATCCTCCTGTCAACGGTTCACCTAGGAAAAAGAAAAGCAAACTCTTGAAAGCTGGTTCGACTGTTCGTGTCAAATCTGGGACTTTTGCTGAATTTGCAGGCATCCTTAAGAAACTAAACCGCAAGACTGGAGAGGTATAGTTTTTCTTCTCCCACCAGTAAAATCATCTGCTGTTTCAAAGGACCTAAAATCCCTCATTAGGGAATACCTGTAAGATGTAAGATTAATCTGCCGCTTTCTTTCATAACAGAGCCGACCCTAAAAGTACTGACCAAAACATTGTTATGTGGTGAAAAATCTCTTCTCTTAGTGTATGGGCCTACTCATGAACCAATGAAAAATAAATTTTTGTTGAAACGAGTATATGTCTTATTTTTCATGGGGAAAAATGATAAAGCGGGAGCAACTTTTAAAAAAATCCATATTTCGATTGGTTTGCTCCGTAGGTAGACCTGTAGACTAGTCTAGGCAAGTCTAATCCCTTTTTGTAATGGTCTTTATATTTTTTGGCACGTGCATCTATGCAAGAAAATGATTGTAATGTTGGATAAAATTCTATTTTTGCAGGCAACTGTGGGATTTACACTCTTCGGCAAAGAGACTTTAGTAGATCTAGATCTCCATGAAATTGTAGAAGAGACAGAATAATGTAAATATTTCTGTGGGATCTTGATCTCTTGTTGAATGGTAAGCTAAAAAATGGGGTGAGATTGTTCCACTTCCTTCCATATTAATGTTGTTACTTCATTTCATATGTAGAATATAGGATCATAGATCTCAGAACTGGCAATATGCAGTAGCTTTTTGAAAAGAAAATTATTGGCTTTAAATTTGAGTCAGTATACAAGTAGAAATTTGCTGACAGTTTATTGCGTTAGTTTAAAAATTGCTTCATATTGAACTTGTTTTTATTTGTTAAAAAAAAAAAAATCTGAATTGCTTGGGTTCTTACCTGTCAATACTTGCATATGATTCTTTTCCAGTTTCATGTATTCAATTGGAATTGTGACACAGATGGAAGGCAATTGACAAGTTTCCTAGCCAATGCCGGTGTCATTTTCACCAATAGACAAGAACTGTCAAAAACTCAAGAATGCTATGGTATCCAGTTTGCTAGAACAGGATTAAGTTCCATATTTTATAAAAAGGCTGACAGCAGTTCCAAAAATAAACAGATGTCCTGTCTCAAGACACTGGTTCATAAAGTTGTGCTATCTTTGTCAAGGTTTTAACCGAAAAAATTAGAATCCATCACAAACGCCAATTCACGGATATGGTTAAAACAGAGAGACATTGAAGCATGTAAGTTCACTTTATTTATTGCATCTTGTATTTGAAATCCACTTTTCATAACCAGTTAAGACCTAAATTTTGTTGCAAAACTTTTATATCCGTTATGAATGTTTTGGTTTTCCATTCTATTAAGTAAGCAATAACATTAACAAAACTGTAGTATTTTTTGAGCAAATGAAACCAAGCTCTGAAGAAAACTTCCTTCGTTCTTTCTGTAGTATTTTTTGGATCTCTTCTAAATGTTTCATGGTGTGTAATACTTTTGAGCAGCAAAGTAAGATTGCTTACCTTTGTCTTGACTGGCATTTTGATCTTCTAGTGTAGTCTCTGTCCAAAGAAGTGTCAAAAAAAAAAATTTTTACCATTCTGATGGCTGATTACCCTAAAGAGAAATGTGAGGTTGTGCATGCATGAAATACATTTATATTGAGCCAAAGCGAGCCTTGGGTGACACCCAACTTCAAAATTGAAACATTACATTGTATTTTTTCCTGGCCAAAAAGCCTGTCACTCTGTTTGCTTTATAAAGGTGCTTTTTAGTGTACTCAGTGCATATGCATCCTATTTAACATCTATATGGAACTTGCTTTTTTTTTTTTAATTCATTTTTAGTTTTAGGTGGGTTTTCTATAATGTGAATTTGGGATGCACAATAATTTTTCCTTTCATCAATGATTGGGAAACAGAGGAGGTAAGATTCCAATTGAATCAATTATACTGGGCTCACGGGATCTAATGCGGTGGGTTTAATCCAATGTGAGTAGGAGAGCATATGCTCCCGCTCAATCATTTGGCATTTGAAGATTGAGTGAGAAATTACGAAAACAAAAGGAGGCTAACACTCCCATTCTAGGAAAAAGGGTAGAATTGGTGGTTCGAATTTGATTTTAAAGAAATGTAGAATCAGAATTTAACCACTTTTAGGCAGTTTCAAAATCACTTGCTATAAATTATCAAAAAAAAAAAAAAAAAAAAAAAAGGCTAACAACTCCCACACACTCTTCTTAGGAACAAAAAGAGGTGAATTAGGTGCGTTCGAATTTGATTTTTAAAGAAATGTAGAATCAGAATTTAACCACTTTTAGGCAGTATCAAAAATCACTTCTATAAATTATCCAAAAAAAAAAAAAAAAAAAAAAAAAACTGCTAAAAAAAAAAAAAAAAAAAAAAAAAAAACTTGCTATAGACAATATTTTTTGGAAAAAAAAAGTTTAGCAATAGAAAAAAAAATTTGATAAAAAAACAAAAGAAAGAAAGAAACGACGTTATTTTGAGATAAAATATATACATTAGGCATATGCTATTAATCATCGGCAGCTATTATTGTTATACTATTCATCAGTGACAACTATTACAATTATCTATTTTTTTATGTGTTTGTTTCTCATATTCAATAATAAACCAAATGAAATACTATTAAATTTATCTAAAATTTTAAATATTTTTACCATTTATAAATAAAAAATGTTAGTATTTTTGAATAAAATTCAATGTTCCAACCTAATAACCAAAAACAAATGCTACAGAAAATATATTTGTTTTTAAAATTAAAGTTATTTTCTGTAAAACAAATGGAGTTTTTTCCTCCCTCATCCAAGTACAGAAAATAATAATCACTGGATAATTTTCCCTGGCCCTTTTCTAGATTTTTTTTGTAGAATCATTCCATCTCTTCAATATCAGGTGAAACAAGTCTCAAATGGATGGAAAAGGGAAGGTTGAATTTATGCAGTGGGGTTCACAGTTGAGACCCAAATTGACAATGTGATGTGGGTAAATAGTCCTTTTTGACATCTTTAATGGCTAACTCAATTAGTCACTTGTTTCCAAATTATTCTTACTCAGGTTTTCTCATGTGCTTAGTCTCCTTAAGATAGCCTTAATCCCCCATAAAAGGTAGAGATGGTCCCTCCATAGTTCACACTTTTGGCCATCCATTTTCGTGTCTCATTTTCCATTAGTGCGTCTCTCGAGTCTTGACCCATATGGTGGTCCTTCCATGCCCTATCCTTCAAAAGTTTTAAGCCCCATCAACGAATTTTTATACAGAAATGATAAACCATTTTCAATTCCTGAAAATTTTATTTACTTCGTCTTGAAATACCAATTTATCCTCAAAAAAAAATTTAGAAAATGAGTTTTTAGACTCCCATTTGTCTATTCAAGCACTCCCTAGCTTTGCTTACGACCATTGCTAAATTACTAGCGAGAATTTAAATGGGCATTAACTTGGTTGGATAAAAGAAACTAAAATGTCAACATAAGAGTGATTTAATTTTCTAACAATCTTCAAACCAATTGCTAATGTTAGGCCAATAGCTTTGTAACCAAGTGTCTTGTATTGAAATCATCAATCATTATTGATTCACTTCAAATTTGGGAAATGAACTACAATTTGATGAAATAAGAATTCGTTTTTTTCTTTTTAAATAAACTTTCAATTGATGCTAATAATACAATTGATGATGTTATTATTATTATTATTATTATTGGTGCTAGACAAAATTTTTGATGGTTTATACATAATCTATATATATATATCACATAAATCTATATATCATATATATATATATATTATATATATATTTATATATATCACAAAACATGCACACACCTCTAGAGAATAGAGACAGCTCACCTGAAATTTAAGTTACATCAAGGAAGGAGATGTAGTTTAAGCAAGATTGCAATTATATTTTAGTTTACTTAATAATCTAACGATAAGCAAGACTTGTAAGGAAGCTAAAGGGCCCCTAACTACCAACTAAAAGTTAGAGCAAACTGTAGAGGTCACAAGGGTAACTGGGTAATTGAGTGGTCCAATGTTTCAACTTTAATACTCATGAAAGTCACTTCTCATGCTTCTAAACTTTGTCTTTTATGGAATGGAGGAAAGTAGGTAATCCCATTCAAATGAGATCCGGCTTCATTTTGTACCTCACGGCCTCTGTTGTTGAACTATCTGTTTTCAACAATGGAGCCACTAAACTTTCTGTTCTACTTGTTTAGGACTTCTAGACAGGAACAAGTGAAGTGTAAGTGATTTTTTTTTTTTTTTTTTTTTTTTTTTTTTTTTTTTTTTTTTTGAATATTCTTTTAAACAAGTACAATAATATTCTTCAAGTGTTTATTAAAGATAATTAATATTTATAACTATTAGCATTTCAAGGCTTCATCTTTATTCTCTTCAGCACAATTGTTAATGGCTAATTATTAGTCATTAATAACTGAATTTTACTTGCAATGTCAATTGTTAGAGTGATTTTTATTTTAGAATATCGGTCGAGAGAGTTATCATATTTAAAGTTTTATTCAAAATATTAATACTATAACTTGATTTTACAATTATCAGAACGAGACCTGATACGCTTTACTAATACGCTTTAACTTTTGTTAAGCTATCTTGATAGAAATTAATTACTTTTTTATAGATACAATCAAAATATATGGTGGGTCCACCATAAAGTCACGGCCTATGGCACTCCACATTTAAATTTTTAAATCAAAGCACAAGACCATCAGATAGATTAATGAAGCTGATGGTCGTTGAATTGATTCCCATTTCAATAAATACATCACCTCCCTTAAATGCTCCTGTGGTTCCTACAAATACAATCCTAGGTGAGGCGCACACAAGATACAATGCACAGGGTCTCAGGAGAGATCAATGACCAAAGAGAAAATATTGAATTTTACTCAAAGATACTAATTAAACCTCCTATTTATTCTTCTAAAAAAAACTCCTATTTATAATTTAATTACATAAATTTTTAATTGTATAATAAATAATTATACTACTTAATTTTTTTGCGTATATTGTAAGTAAAAGCGTCTAAAAGAATAAATTAGTATTTAGTTCATTATACTATTTAAATTTTTTAAAAAAATTTTAATTCTATAGATATCAGTCATTATTACTTAATTCTTCAAATTAATTGTGAATTAAAATAAAAAAAATAAATTATTTAAACCGAAATGAAACTAACGCTATATTTAAATTAAAGTGAAAAAATAAGGAAAGATAGGAAAATTTTGGAAAAAGAATTATTTTCCTTTTATTAGTTCATTGCATAATTTTTCTGTTTTAATTGAAAGAGATATTTTTAAAATGAAAATAATTGTTATGCTTTAATATCTAAATAACTAGTACTATAATAATTAAATTTTTAAAAATATAAATTAATGAAACGGAAGGTTCGTTAAACAGACCGCGTGTTTTATTTACTGTTAGCTCACTGTCTTTTACTACTATTAATTAATTTTAGTTTTACTTTTTCAATGTTATTTAATTTCCACCAAGAACGCAAAAGCACGCGCACATTAGTTTTTGCTTGTAAAGAGATTGCTAAAGTAGGCACAGTGCACAACACAACCCAGCATCTATCCATCTCTTTAATTATTTTATATTATGTCGGTTTTAGCCAAGAAGGTCGATGTGTCATTTGTCAAAAAAATTTAAAAACACACACCCACTGCGCATTTAAGTCAGTGGTCCTCTTATGCTTTGCTTTGCAAGTGCTCCTTTCTGTAACCCCAATAGAAAAGGTTAAAAAAAGTGAATAAAATAAAATCCACTTACTCGCCATGTGATTGGTCCACATTTTGCAGAATCCAAGTGCATGAGTAGACTAAAAGAGTCAAAATTAGACTTGAAATCTTAGTATTTTTTTTCTTTTGTTTATTATTTTAATACTGTATATAACATATTTTAACCTTCTAACAAACGCATTTCTTAGATATTGAACTTTGGGTCCTCATTTTTTACAGTGATTATAACCGATTATCATCGTGCTTATTGATAATTTTTATGCGTCAACGCTCCCTTCGTTTCATTTAAATATTAATATTTATTTTTTTTATAAGAATTAAAAAAATAATTAAAATTTTTTAATTTTTTAAAAAGAAAGATTTATTACTCTTTAGAATTATAAATGTGATAAATATTTTAAAATAAAATATTTTATTAAATGTGATAAATATTATAGGACATAAATAATATTACTTTTTGAATTTAAAATTGTTTTATCGTTTAAATCAATCTTCATAAATTGTTTTAATTTTTACACTTAGTATGTCTTGTTTAGCAAGATTTAGTTGCAAATTTGATAAAATAGAAGGGCATGTTTGCAAAAAGGCCTATATAATATTCCCTCAGTCAGCAGCCACTCAGAGAAAGTGAACGAGATAGTTGCAGAAGCCAGTAAACGTATTTAATTTTCACAACCTCCAGCTCAACCTCCCCCTCTTATTCTTTACTTTCCTCCTCTGTTTTCTCAAAGGCAAAGAAAAAAAAAAAAAAAAAAAAAACAAAGAAAAAAAAAAAAAAAAAAAAAAAAAAAAAAAAAACAAGAAGAAATATACTTCTTCACCAGTATCAACCTGAAAATGGGTGCATCTCAGAAACCCTAGAATACCACAAAAAATTCCAACTTTAACCCAGATTCAGCTTAAACCCAATTCGGCCATGGCCGTTTTCTCCATTTCTTCTTGCTTTATAGCTCTAAATTTCTTTTTCCACCTCAAAATGTTATCTGCAAATCCAAATTCCTCCTTTTCTTTTCTAAGTTTCGAGAAAAATCCGAGCTTTGAGTCCGACATTGCTCTTTATGGTGATGCAGCAAATGCTGTTAATAATGGTTCTGTGCTTCAACTGACTCGCTCAGTGAGTTCCAGCGCCGGGCGAGTTTTGTATAAGAAACCCATTAAGCTTGTCGAAGGTAACCCTGTGAATTTGGTTTCTTTTTCGACTTATTTTTCGTTTTTGATGTCGCCTGATAATGGAGATGGTTTGGCTTTCGTTATGCTTTCTGATGCTTCTAATATAAGTGCTTTTGAATATAATGTCCCATTTGGGCTTTCTTTAAGATCAGAAAAGAGTAATTCTGAAATTGTTGCTGTTGAATTTGATACAAGGAGGGATGATAACTATGGTGATGTGAATGGAAACCATGTAGGAATTGATGTGGGTGGTTTTGTATCAGTTAAGGTGAAAAATGCTTCATCTGCTAATTTGGTGTTGAATAATGGGAAAAGATTGAATTCTTGGATTGATTATGAAGCAGGTTCAAAGAGATTAGAGGTTCGGTTGAGTCAGTATGGTTATACAAAGCCAATTGATCCATTACTCTCTCACCCAATTGACCTATCACAACTGTGGAATAATGAGAAAGTTTTTATTGGCTTGAGCTCATCAAATGGGAATTCCTCTCAGGAATGTTTTATATATTCGTGGAGCTTTGAGCTGAGGCATGTTCCTCAATGGATGCATTCTGAGCCATTGGATCCTCAGGCTTTTGCTAAAAAGGTGAAACCTGTGGTAATTCACAAGCGGAATGCTTGTGTTTTGAGAGTTCTTGCTGCAATGATCTTTGGTACTGCTTGTGGAGCTCTTGGTGCATTTATTGTCTTGTATCTTTGGACCATCTTTGGGAATAGGCGGCCGGTGCCTGTGGTGCCAGAGGAATGCTCTATGCAGCCTGTGGATTTTCAATACAAGAAGTTCAATGTAGGTCTAGATAAAGCTGTCGAAGATGGCAAGCAGTAGAGTGGTTTGAGTTGGAGGTTCTTTTGGATGTTTTGTATTGTAAATTCGTGTTCTTTTCATTTTTTTTTTTCCTCTTGTTTGTATTTGCAGGTTTTGATGTGGTGTTGTAACTGATGATCAATTGTTCAGATGTAGGTTTTGTTACATATTTATCTAATGATTGGAACATTCAGTTTCATATTTTACTTTTCTTAAATCCCACCTGTCAAGCTCAGTTGCTTAATTCAAATGATTGTTTCATAATGGTGCATAAATTTCATATTGCTTAATTCAACCGATACTAGATCTAAAATTTATTCCAAATCATAATTGTCTCAAAGCTTATTATAAATGTTTGATTGTAAATGCTAGAAACATTTCAACTAATTTAAACGAGGAAGATGCTAATGCAGCCATTGTGTTGAATAGTGTCAATTGATAATGTTTGTAAGGGAATGTAAGAGTTGATGGAGGGGAAATAAAAGAAAGCTCAATTTGTATTATATATTTAAAAAAGCTGTATATCCAAACATGATAAGGCCCTGTTTAATAATCCATGTTCCCTTTATACCCAGAAGTTCAAATACATGAAAACCCAAAACAACCAGTCTCCAATGAATGAGAAGGCCTGAACGAATCTGTCCTGTCCAGCATCAACCCATTCTATTGCCAGAGGGTGGCAAGCACTTTACATGTGCAATAGTCTTCTTCCTGTCAATATTACATATCATGAATTTCCTCTTCTTCCTCTTCATAGTCTTCTTCTGCTGTGGCATCTTGGTACTGCTGATACTCGGAAACCAAATCATTCATATTGCTCTCTGCCTCCGTGAACTCCATCTCATCCATACCTTCTCCAGTGTACCAATGTAAGAAAGCCTTTCTCCTGAACATGGCTGTGAACTGCTCGCTCACACGGCGAAACATTTCCTGAATTGATGTTGAGTTCCCAATGAATGTGGATGCCATTTTCAAGCCTGTTGGAGGGATATCACAAACAGTTGATTTTACATTATTTGGAATCCATTCTACAAAGTAGGAAGAATTCTTGTTTTGAACATTGATCATTTGCTCATCAACTTCTTTAGTGCTCATTTTCCCCCTGAACATGGCCGAGGCAGTTAAGTAACGGCCATGGCGCGGATCTGCTGCACACATCATGTTTTTTGAATCCCACATTTGCTGGGTTAGCTCTGGCACAGTCAAGGCACTATATTGCTGGGAGCCACGGGAGGTAAGAGGAGCAAAACCCACCATGAAGAAATGTAGCCGGGGGAAGGGGATGAGGTTCACGGCAAGCTTCCTTAGGTCAGAGTTAAGCTGACCTGGGAATCTCAAGCAGCATGTAACTCCAGACATGGTAGCAGAAATCAAATGATTTAAATCACCAACTGCAGCAGGCAACAAAAACCAAATTTTCGTACATCAGTTTTGTATTGAGTCCTCAAAAAAAAAAATCACAAAAATAATAATAGTAATAATAATAATAAAAAGAAACCATAATCTTACAGCTTGGAGTGGTGAGTTTAAGAGTACGGAAGCAGATATCATAAAGAGCTTCGTTATCAAGGACCATACATTCATCTGCATTTTCTACAAGTTGATGAACAGAGAGAGTAGCATTGTAAGGCTCAACAACTGTATCAGACACCTTAGGAGATGGAAAGACAGAGAAAGTAAGCATCATTCGATCTGGGTATTCCTCTCTGATTTTAGAAATCAAAAGAGTGCCCATACCAGACCCAGTTCCTCCTCCTAAAGAATGACAAACCTGAAATCCTGCAATTCAAACAATAAATAACCAATTAAAAAAAAAAAAAGCCAGACTGAAAAAGATACTAATTTAATAAAGTAAAAAAAAAAAATAGAAGAAGATAACCCACCTTGCAAACAATCACAATTCTCTGCTTCTTTACGAACAACATCAAGAACAGAATCAATCAGTTCTGCACCTTCAGTATAATGCCCTTTAGCCCAAT